GTTGCAGTTGGGACACGCTTAAAATGAGCCTTTCCAACAGCGACGCGTTTTTTCAGACGCGTTATTCCTTTACGCAGACTTTATTACGCATTCCGTTTCCGAGCGGATTGTGGTGGCTGTCAAAACCGAATTTGTGAACATACGGTGAAAATAAATTACTCTGAAGAGAAAAGGGCGACATTTAGAAACCTAATGAAAATCTAAAGCTCTGAAAGGTTTGCAATACGAATCGCAGGTCTTTCCCATTGGACCCAAAGCGAGTACTGAAAGTGGAACGAAACGCATGTTTTGTTGTTCCAAGTAACAGCAGGCAGCCCAATCTTAAGCCCAGCCTAACCTAGAATCAGCAAGTACTTTAGCTTAGGGTGGTTGCGATTGCTTGGACTAATGAAACTTGATTTTAGTTTCACCTACAGTATCCACCAGGCGTCTAACGGAAGAGACCCCGATCCGCTAAAGAAATTTTACTCGGATCTTTCCCTGTTGCAAAACATGAGTTTTCTAATCCAACAATTGCTTTTTAAACTAGATTGATACGTTTTAAACAACGCTTCGGCATTACTACGTAAAAAGAAACAGAACCACGCGTTCAAAATCGCATTTTTAATTGTAAGCTTAATGAGAACGAAAATAGTTGAGCGGTAGAGGAGAAAATGGAACTTATCCTTAAGTGAGAGCACAGACGCACGAAAAAAGTTGCGAATTACTATTAAAACAATGCTTACAATTTCGTGGCAGCATTTAGACTTTAAGGACATGGAACCGTATTTTGCATAGCACGTCTCTGGTGTGTTACCACACAGGACAGCGACATCGGTACATGTAACCATTAGCAATCCTGCAATATGCAAACGTTAAACCACTTTCCGGCGAAAACAAGCAGAATAAGCAGCGTATTAATTGACACTATACCGTCATCAGACACACACTGAACAGCTGCATCCAAAAATTTTGCAGCACTTCCATAGGGATCCAAATCGACAACGTCAAACCGTTGCTTAGTGGCACGGTGTTGATACATGAATGACCTGGCGAAACGTTGAATAAGGGAAATCTGAGCACCATAAGACCTACGTAGCTTCTTCGTTAACAGGGAGTACAAGATTTTCTACTTCATTGCTTTTTATGTTCCTCTTGATAAATTCCACGGCATGGGATGACAGATCGTTCGCGACGATCTGTCTTACGTGTGGTACCTCTTTTGCGAATCTTATCGAACGCAAGCCAGTAGCGGAGAGCGCGTCCAGAATTGAAATTCCCTAATCAAGTGAAACCAACCACTGGTTCATTAAGCAACTCCAAAACGTCACACCGATTTTGCGTGAGGGGAATTTTGGAGCCGCGACTTTTTTTGTGGGGAAACGCCCGATTCCTGACTATCGTAAAGATCGCCAACGAAAGTACGAAGAACTGCTACGCTGAAAATGTAAACCCAGAAAAGGTTCCTAAGGCGAGGGTAGGCAACCAAACCTCAAATCTCTGTTGAACTGTTGTACCGGGTTGTAGAAGACATCCGCAGACTTGGCTTCGATTATTGCTTTACCTTCTTTGATCTGCGCGCTCATAATTTAATTTGGCGATAAGAAAGCATTCGAAAAACAGAGATTCCTTTAGTCGACGGATATTCCCAACTGTCTAATTTTCATGTTTTCATAGTGCTTGTAAACCGTTTCTAGCTACTGTTACTTTTCATCCGAAGGCGTAGCTTTCAACCACGCCTTTTCATTCAAGCGTTAAACTTTTGAAAAATAACGACTTTTCGAAGCTTTCGTTTCGAAAAAAATAAAATTTAAAATTGTTCTTGCCACAAGCTTACAATGCAAGTTCGAAGTAAACATTCGCTGACCAGCTAGCTAGCTACATGTTTAGCAAAAGTTTCTACAGCCTATACCAGCCGAGCTTAGCTGCCTGTTTTTATCTACCACTTTAATTTTCCTCCAGGTTTATATGCATGCTTCATTCTACCTAAGGGAGAAGCGTGTACATTATTAGAACGAAATGGACGCCTAACTGAACTAAAAGTACCTTCTATTTTCACTGACTCTTAAGAATAGTGGCTAATGTTCTGTTTCATTTTTTCAAATAAGAATAAATCTTCCTCGGACAATAAAACGACGGACTATCGGGAAACTTTACCTTCAGATCGATTTTCATACTGTATGCTGGCCCTTCAAGCGCGAAATAGGAAGAAAGCACCTAAATGAAATCTTCAGACAAGGGCTGGGATTAGTATAGCTGGAGGCTGCTTTTGTTTTTGTGCTTAGATTTTTTTTAAAACGTTGCTCTTAAATCTTTGTATATGGTTTGCTAAGTTTCTTTTGTGTTTATTTATGGCAGCGCAGAGATAGGGGCAAATAATTCGTTTTCATAACGACGTAGAAGAACGTTGTTGTAGTTCCATCCAGCGCGATCGAGGCATTCGACCACTTCCAATAGCACCAACTCTAGTCGTCTGTCAAGAGCGAGAAGGTGCTTATCCGCTAACACTGGTGATGCATGGTCATTCGCCATTGAATTATTCAAAGCCTTTGAAAGCGGAGTATCTCCGAAGTAGAAGTTCAACAGAGATATTACTGTAGCCGGTCGGACAAGGCAGCATTGCATTAGTGGAAGAAGAATGTCGTAGTCGTCCAGTTTAGCATTTCCAAATCTGGCAGGTAGTTTGTTTATTCGCTCCATTTATGCAAAAATGTTTAAATCTTTCTTACCCTCGTCCATTGTCTAGATGCATTGCAAAGGCTGGCCTGCCTGGAGTCATGTTGAAAAACTCTAGATGATGTCTATCCTGGTTTCCTGCAAGAGCATTGTGTTGCCGCCGTGTATTCATGCGAAAACAAAGTGCTCAACAATACCAGTGAGAAAGTCAAAAATACTGGCATCTATCAGGTCTAGAATACGGCTTCCATTGTTGAAAGCGGATGAACGTTTGACGTTTTGTTCACAGAAGTCGGGATTGACTTGCCACTCTGCTAATTGGTCTCTTTCCGAGTAAGTTCTGAAATTTTTTGATTTTAAGTAAGCAAGCTCTAAGTCAGGTGGATAATATCAGAAAGAGGAACTTGATTATCATTTAAAAAAGCGCTAGCTTTGGCCAAAACCGATTGGTTTAATGCCTGATCCATCGTAATTTCTGGATACCTTCTGTAAGGCGATCGTATGTGTCCTCTGGGAACTAAATCTTCGTCGGGAAGACTGACTTGGAGGGACCCTTCTATTAGGTCCGGAGTTCCGCAGATTGGGTGTCGCAGGTCGCAGTAGTAATCACATTTTCCATAGAAGCAGCGATTTTTTGCTGAAACCAGCTTCTCTCTGTATGTTAGCAACTCGATAAACATTATATTAACAATTATAGCAGTAATGATAGTCATAGCAATGAGCAGATGTTCACAATTTTTTATTTTGTGCTTTGGCAGACGTACTCGAGTGTCTGTGTGCAGCAAAACTCTCTATCGCCTGGATTACAAACATTCTAAATTGGATAATATTAATATATTAGATGAGTGGTAAGAGATAAATGCTTCTAAGGTTACTGAAATCTGATCAGTGTCACTGCATTGCGTAGCTTCTTCAGTGGCGCCATCCTGATAAAACGGACTGACGGAATGATGAGTAATAAGTGCGTCAACTAATGACTGCTCACGTGCGAAAAGAAATTGCAAAGCTCACTTTCGTCAGTTTAGGATTACCTGGAGAGATAAAAAATGTTCCATTTAAGTCCGGCGACATTTTTGCATTTTCCTCCAGGTCCTTGCTAACATTCAGCTTCCTTCCGACGGTTGGCAACGCGCGCCTGAAGTTCAGTATCCTAAAATGGACAATTTTTAAAATTTGCTCGTAGGAGGTACGAGTGACACTTGTCCAAGTGGAAGGCCGCAATTTCAGCGTTATGTCGTTCGTAGTCGGTAAAATAAAAGTGATTAGGGTCAGTTTCACGCTGCCGGTCATGCCTGCAAAATTTAAATAAGAGCAAGACGAATTACCATCGCTAGTTGGCAGCAACAGAAATTTCTTAACAGATTTTTGCGTCAACCTCATTGGCTTGAATATGGCGCTGTAGTTGTGCTCGAAAACCAGTGCCAATTTAAGTTGCGTGCCAGCTCGCACGTTGTATACTTCCAGAACCGGTAATTCTCTGAGCAGTTGCATTATTTCTTCTACAACTTTTTCATTATTGTAAAAGCTGCGTTCAGTCATGTGCAGGTAAAATTTGTCCCAGGGAGTCTTATCCCTTACTTTTCTTCTAAACAAAGCGTTCGCTTGACTGCTGAATGCTTGTCAAAGGCTCACCCTGTTAATTGGGTTAGATAATCTTGGACGGTCAGATTCCCATCGCATGAATTTCCTTGATTAAGTGTTTGCCAGGGAAGTTGCAGAAGTTTGGCAATTCGCTTTCGGTTTGTGACGTCTGAGAAAAAATGTTGATCATTTTCTGTGTAATGATTGCCTTTTTAGAAGGCTTGACGTTACCTGATTTTTCGATCCATTTTGCAAGAGAGATTTGCTCCGGTAGTTCATAAATACTCTGGAAATACAGGACAAGCAATATTGAAACACCAAAGGAAAATGCTAGCAACAGTTTATCAATGTGGTTACGATGCATGCGATAGTTTGACTAATGCACTTGTTCTTTCTTTAAACTTAGTATCGCTCCTTCTCGAAGCAGAAATTCCGGTTTCGCAGCAACCCAGGTGCCCATTTAAACGCCCATTTTTCAGGCAAGTTAATTGGAACATTCTGGTCTTGTCGTTGATGAGTTCACTGCGTACCATTCAATAAATCTTTATCATTTGCTTACAACTAATTCATTCTGAGATAATGAGTATGTGAAGACGTGATGGCCAGTAATTGGCTGTTCTAAAAAGTTCGAATCAGGTGAGTAAAATGTTTTCAAAATTGAAATGCTCGAACGTGTCGCAAGGCGACCACCTGCACTTAGGCATTAACCGTTAGGATTCAGATGTTCATGAGCCTAACGTGCCAGGTGGTGCTATCGACTCAATGGGCCACTAGCTCAAATGGTAGAGCGCTCGCTTAGCATGCGAGAGGTACTGGGATCGATACCCAGGTGGTCCAGTGTTTTATCTGGTGATTACTCGTTTGTGAAATTGCTCTAGGGTTTTCTCGTTTTAGTGACAGTGAAACCTCGATTATATTAACTAGGACTGCACAATAGTTCAGACAACAAAAACTTCAGACATTGAAGTTTCCTATTGCTTTTTAAGGTGACCTTTCTCTGAACGAAGACCCGAAACACAGGACGCGACTTGTACGAAAACCTAGCTAAGCTATTAAAGGTTTGGGAATTCGATGAGCAGGTTGCCTGTGTAAAAATTAATGAAAAGATAAAAGTAATTTATCCAAACGGTCACATGGCTCTGTTTTCCTTTAAACACTCTGAAAGGGCTGAAGTTAAGTTCCATCTGATCTCTGCCGGTTTAACAGTTTGAATTGCACAGACAATCTTTGCCTTCTCTAAAGACTAGGCAGACTTTCGGTGCAGCTTATTTAACCATTAGAGTTTCCGCATGCACTTTGTCGAATTTTCAGAGAAGAAGAATGCTAACTCATTAAAGCTTTCTGGCTATTTTCCTATTCCATGAATGATTCTGCTTACGGTGCTATTTAGCTAGCGGTCATTAATACGCGGAAATAGAAGGCAAACTTCCTTGTGTACCATGTCAACGCTGACAACTTGTACAGATGGGTCAGTTATTTAAGTGAAATAGTTTTGACTATATAGGAAAAACGTAGCAGTTCATGAAGTTTTGAAAAAGTTCAACTTACCGCAAAAACAGTTCACTTCACGATGCATGACCGACAGCGTGGCCGAGCGGTCTAAGGCGCCAGACTCAAGCGCAAACTTGCCTGCATAAAACAGGTCTGAGTGTTCTGGTCAGTGAATACTGGCGTGGGTTCGAATCCCACCGCTGTCAAGCTTTTTCCAGAAGTTGTACGCTATCTCCTTGTGCATAATCCTTCGATCAGGCCGTTACTTCTATTTGATGCATTGGTAAGACGTGAGAATAAAATTAGCATCACGTGAATAGATCGTTCGTTTAGCACACGTCTTCAACTACGCTCCAAAACGCGTTATTAGCGAACCGAAAGCATGCTCAAGCATCCCAAATTTGTCAATACTGTACTCCTTAGGAAAAAGTAAAACGAACCTGAGCTTCATTTAAGAAATAAAGTAAGATCTTTTGCTCATGCGCAACTGTTACTGCAAAGACAGGAGAGTGCGCTTATTACGCGCTTCCCTGTTTTCAATGTTAATTCGTCGCAAAAATATAATAATTAAAAATTGGGGGTTCTGCATCACTCCTTTCTGCGAGACGTAACAGTTTAAACGCTGACTAAAAGATGTTCAGGTTACACAATCTGCAATGAAGCTTACAGAAGCTTACACTTTAAAACCATCCTACTTGTGAACTGACGCGCTGAGTGATCACTCAGTCGTTGCAACGATTCAGGTAACTGAGCGGTTGGCTAAGTGGAACGCGGTCGGCAGTGTAGGACCGCCTCGGTGGGCAGCTTCAATGACCTTTGCCCATCTCAGATCATATCCATGAAAGAATATCTGAACTACGATGAGCTCAAAGAAAGCGCTGCAACTGAAGATCCACTGAAAGTGCAGAAGTTGAAAGGAAGCTTGAAACTAAATGGACTGGATGCAATGGATGAAGTTGAAGGGAACAAGAAGTTGACGAGCGCAGGCCCAGATTTGATTGCAATATCAAGCGCTAATTTGGCTAAGCAGTTAGTCTCTGTTGCCCTATGCTTGCAGCTCCAATATACTACGCTGACAATTATCAGGAATCGTATGTTTGATATGCCAGAAGCAGATTACAAGCAAGCAGTCCCCTTGTACATTGGAGCGATGATTCTAGCTGTGATGGGCACCTGCTGTATTCTGAAATGGTGCGACCAACTAATTGACAACAGGGCAACGTTCCGTGTTGCAGCATTTATAACGCTCTGTTCCTTGCCTGGTATCCTTGCCTTTATGCAAAATGATAGTTGTGAGCAACCTCCACCATGTCTTCTGCTGCTCTCCATGGGCATTGTGATTTCAATGACAGGTATTTCTGTAGAATCAGATTTGTCGATGATAATAAGCGCTGCTATTGGACCTGCGTTTGCTTTGCTGCTGCTTTATGGTGTTTGGGTTGGAATAACTATTCGATACGTGATGTGGATAACATTGTTAAGTATCGCAACAGCCGCAGTGATGCATGGCCAACTTGAAGCTATTTCGTACGGGCATGATTCACGCCTCAGTGATCTTTCACCGTTGATCATGTTTTTCATTTGCATCAACATGCAAATGTATCTGATGGGCTGGCTATTCACTATCAAGTAGTAATACGCACATCCTCCTCTCGGCTTAACAAAAAAGTGGCCATTTGGAAATGTAATGCGATTTTCAACATCGCGTCATGTAAAACAGTTTCCTGTACGCGCATAATGCTGTGGAATAATAGAAGCATAACTTTTAAGTTCAGAAAGTTTGCCTTTGAAGCCACTAATTTGCCAAGGACGAAAATGAACCAGCTTAACCAAGCTTTCTTCTATCAATGGGATGAAAATTTGCTCTATTGCAAATAAGGCAAGGCAAGCTGACGTGCGCCTCGTCCTATTTGCAGTAAAAATGGCTGAACTAATATTCAGCTGCGACTCTGATATACGTATACGATTTTGTATTTTCTGTGAGTGTTTTGTTATTAATTGGCACATTTGCAGTATAAATCCATCGTGTTCTATAATTTATTTTGCTGCTCTTATGCTTCATTAATTTGGCGCGGAATAAAATGCATCGTCTTGTCTGAACCTTGTCGCTATGTCTACTTCCGTGTAACGTACGATTTCACGCAACGTGTAGTTGCTTAGACGGAATCGTTCTCCAATTCTGGCTTAGGCTTAAATGGCGTAGACTAACCATTAGCAACAAGACGCCAGTAGCTACCCAATGGCGTTTAATTTACGCCACGGGCGAAGGAGCAATTTGGCAGCTGATCAGGTCTGAGCAGCGACATGGGTGCCACCTATCACAACATCAACGCCGCCTACGGGGCAGCTATTAAGAAAGATTCAAAATGGTTCTTTAACAGATACAGCACTTGGCGTGCTAAATTCATGGAATATTAAAATTTGATCATTCACAACAAAACCATATAGCAGGCTCTGATCGCCCGGAAGGTGGCGCTCATTTCGCCGCAGATTGCTACTCATCCTCACTGGCTACCACCGACATCACGTTGGACATTGAGGAGGACATGCAAGGTGGATAGCGTTGATATTGCCTTTGCCTGCTGCTCCAACCAAGTTGCTTGTCAGGTTGTTCTTATGCCAAAAGCAGAAAACGATTCCGTGTACGAAACTGCAGCGTTCAATCTCGTGAATTGTCCAGCTTAGGTCGACATAATGAAGCCATTTTATTGAGCTTATACAAAAACGATGAGAAACAGTTACGAGCGTTTATACAAGGACAATCACAAGGAGAACGGCACAGGAATGGACAATCAGTTTGGCAGGTACTGCGCCGCGATATCATCATGCAAGTCCGCTCGCGACGCAGAAAGCCTTTTCTCACAAGGAGCGCAGACTCCATCGTCGTCGGTTATTGTGAAGAAAAGCTTACGGAAGTTCGTCGTATAATCCTTTTGCAATGGCACGCTATCCGCGCTGCATGTTGAGACGCTCTTACTTCCCCTCACAGTAGCAGCAAGCTGTAGGGATAGGAGTTCTACTTATCGCGACATCAGAGCCGCCTATGGGGTTGTTAAACTGCGGTTAACGATGCGGTCGTTTGAATTAACAAAGGTTGTCTGCGTTTCAACCCACGTGCGAACTGTTCTATATTAACAGCTATGAAATTCGTTTGTCTTAAAGCAATATGCAATGGATTCTACATTCTTTACTGATAAGTTTCTCATTCACATGCACTCATGAGGACGTACCTTCGTTTTGAATTAAGCATCATGCAGATGCTGTTAAGCCCTTTGACAATGAATCCCATTTGCTGTTTCTTGCTTTTATGCAGACGCAGTGGGGATACCGAGACGCTCAGTTGGCTGAACCGCAGTGCAAAGTTTTTTCCAGCGTCTGCTTTACCGTTGCAGCTACTTGCTGTAAGCTGTTTCTGAGAAGCCGTTTTCTAATTTGATCATGTGATGAAGTGCATATGCTTATAAGTAGCAGACAGTACTAGCAATGGTTAGAAAGACAATGAAGCGCCATTGGTCTGCCACTCGAGTCGTTTGCTCAGAGAGAACCCTTGCCAACTGAATCTGCAATTCTACGGCACCAACAACGCACAAAGAAGCTATCGACGATAAATAACTAATGGAAAGACCGGAAAGGCAACCACAAATGAACAGTAATCCAAAAGCAGGTCCAACAGCAACTGCAGTGAGTAGGGGCATGTTTGATGTCCGTTCAACGTTAGTTTTGCGAACCGCTATTCCTATGCACAAAGGCATAATGAATGCAAGAGGCATAGCGCTGTGGATCTCCTGTCCAGGTAAGAGAAGTCCAACGAAAGTGCCAAGATGAAAACTGGCAGCGAACACAAGCATTTCCAACTCATCAATTTCCATGGAGAGTTCGCTTAGCAGCAGGAAATAAAGCGCGACAGAAATGAAAAATAGTATAAATAATAGAATCATTGATCTGTAGAACAGCATATCATATATGCGTGTTAGCAGTACTCTGCTGAGCATGAAGCTGGCAGCCTGGAATGCCATGCAATCAGAAACCCAAAAAAAGTAGTCAGCCAAACTTGTGTATAAATCAGAAGTAACTTCATTGATCATTATGAGGTTGTTCACCAAATGCAAATGAGGTCAGCTACTGAGGCACTAGGTTTGCCTTTTACGTACGCATGCTACTCTTCAGATGAGTGAAATTAGAAAAAAGAGACGAAATGGAATGGATGGTGAAGCAGATAGATACATTTGCTTGATTTCTTCAAACCTCATTAAGGCTACGTTTAAAACTAAGTCTGCAGTAGAAAAACACAGAGTTTAAACTGGATATCTTTAGTTTGTTCATGTATGGAAACTTATTCCTTTCTG